GGCGCCGAGCCTATCTTGGGAATTTTTCTAGAGCGGAAGCAAGATCCCCCCTGAGAGGAAGCACTGCTCCGGGGACGCCGGCCCACACACCTTAACTTGCTCCTGTCGTCAGGGGCTGGGCTCTGCTTGAGCACAGAGGCGCCCAGGCCTGGGGGTTCACCGTCAGCCAGACCCCCTTCAGCGCGAGGCATGCGGTCATGAAGCGACTCAGGGCCACCAGGCTAGCATGCAGTACAAAGGACAGAAAGAGGCAGGTGGAAGTCTCAGGTCCCCGGGTGTTGGGGTCAGGGCTGGAAGCAGTTTCAGAGTAAGACTTTGGAGTCCCCTGGAAGCCCTCTCTCGCTTTCCCGCACTCAGTAGGAGCCGCGATGCAACAGTCTTTTAAACAGAGGATAATCGTGTTGGGTCCTGAGGTGTGCCTGTTGAGAGTAAGATTTAAAATTGCCCTTTCCCTCTCGGCGCACCTGCGCCCCGCCGCCTTCTCTCCTCCGACCCATTCTCCCGCGTCTACCTTTTTGCATTCCGCACGCCTTTCATTTCCCCTCCCCCGGTGGTCCCAGAAACTTCTTCCCCCCTCGAAGTTGGCTCAGAACGGCGCCCTGCGCCGCCCAACCCCTCGGCCTCCCGCGCCCGTACTTTGTACCCTTACTTGGTTTGGGTGCGGGTCAGAGGTGGGAAGCGCTGTATCAGGCTGGCGCGCACCGCCCGCCGCTGCAGGGGGCTCGGAGGAGTCGCCAGCCCGGGGTCAGCGAGGACCACACCCTCCTCCCGTCGCTATAGAAACGACTTCAGCCCTTTTTGTGACTCGGGAGCTGAAAGGGCTTAGGCTTTGCTCCCCCCACACCACCTTGTCTCTCCTACTCTTCATTTTCTTGCCCCAGTACTTTAAAGTATAGGGCAAGAATTGGACGAAATCGATATGACATTATTCCTACTCTCCCGCTTCAAACAAAACGCGTGGTTATCCAAAGTACATGGCAAAAGTTCTGGGTATAATGTATTCATCAGCTGAACGTTTTTTGAGAGTTTACTCTGCACCAGGCTTTAGGAAGCACGAAAAGGAAAGTTTCTAATTAAATGCCAGTAGCTTGGCCTGGAGGAGCACACGGTCTGGTCCAAACAGAAAGCAGATATTAAATCGAAGCTTTGTAAAGAGCTGAGTTGAATTTGAGTCTTCGTGGCTAAATAGTAAAGAAGGCAAGTAAGTACCGGTCTGAAGGTCCCCAGTCACGGAAAAGCCTAGCACCATTGGTGCCTGCCCTCAGTTTGGTGGGACAGGGGTCAAGAGTGCATAGTAGTGCAATAGTTGTAACTATTTAAACTGCGCATGAACTTTATGGCCGCCCTGTACAATCCCCCCACTGTTGGCGGTACCACTCACTACTGAGAAAACATGTAGTTGGGTGCGGGAGAGGCTGAATTCAGTGACTCAGTACCTCAAATTGCCAGTGGACCAGCTGTAAGTCTTGTGCCCAGAGCAAGGTGTGGGCTACAGATCCTGATGTGGCAGTCACTGTCACGTAAGTGACCACTGGAGCATGCATGGAATATAATACTGTGGGAGGAGAAGTACGTGTAGGTCAAACAAAAGATTAGAAAAACTGCAAAAAAAGACTAGGCAGAGAGGTCGGGAGAAAATTACAAAAGAAAGGTGTCACATGAGCCTAGGGAATAAAATGTTTTATTCAGGGTATGATGAATAGGATGTAGATTAAGTGAGAAAAATACACACTGGGTTTGGCAACACGAAGGTATTCGTGCTTTCAGCCAGGCCAGTTTTGACATACTTTGAGGAAATTTTCAAAATGAACAAACTATTAACGCGAATAACATGGCAAAACAGGTTCATCAAGCCGGTGCCAAGCAATTAATCAGCGAGACCAGTACCTGACACAGAGAAGGCGCTTGCTGTTTACTGTTACCACTGCACCATACAGAGCACTTAAATGCTACTGCACTCAATAACGTGTTCTAAAAAGTGGGGTAGACAGGGTATATAACAGTATAAAAATATATAATAAGAAAAAATGTACAATAGCAATAGGCAAATGTTCACTTTAATCATACTTCTATTATATTCATGTTAACAGCAATGTTTCCATAAACCAAGAACTGAGTTTATACATTTTTTAAATGGTTAACATGATTTGAAAATTACTCAAAAGTGATCAAGAGCTAGTTGAAATTCTGAATATAAAATATTTCATTACTGTTTTTATGTACAATAAATTCAGAACCAAGCTTCCTAAAAAGTTATGTTATCTAACGTAGTAGGGATGACCAAGTACTTGACGGCTCTTCTCTAGAGCACAAGCTTAACAAGAAGTGATTAAGAAATAGCTTCACCCTGTTTATATTTACAATAAAGAGACTAACATTCTTTGCAGTGTTCTCATTTTATCAGGAAATGTAAACAATCAGACAATATAGATGCAATGGTATCAAAAACGAGAATATTTCAAAACTTCTCCACTTAAAGATTTTGACAATGAAAAAAGACTTCATAAAATGATACTAAATTCTATTTGCTATAGAATAGCCATCGATTTTTAAGTAGGAGACGTAATGTTATAACACAGCAACCATTTGAATGTATAATTCTGAATTTTTTTCTATAAAAAAATTTGACTGAAATACAAAACATCTCTTGAAAGAAATGGGAATGTTTCCTTTTGCCAGATAAACTTTGAACAGTTGAAGTTAAGGTGCCATAAACCAGAACAAGACTAGAAGGGAATGTCACATTACTAGAAAGAACAGCATATGATGTGGACTTCTTCCATGTCTAACTGACAAGAAAAGAGAATATGCTCCTTAAAAGGAGATGGCGTGAGAAGGCATTTCTTACTAACAAACCTCTTACTGAAGTCTTGAATAGCTTTCCAGAGAACAAAATCACAAAATGGGTACAGATCAGTTAAGACATGTAAAAGGATTCCTTTATATGACAAATCCCTTCTCAAATATAAATACACTTATCAAACTGTGATTTTTCTCAAACATTTCTTCACTACCACACTCGGCTGCTAGTGGCGCTTGGATGCAAAGGTTTAACTCGTGCTAATCTGGACAAGCCGAGACGGAGACTCTGATTTGGAGACTTGACGGAAGCTCCTGTCAGTGGGCTACTGCTGTTGCTACTGCTGTTGCTACTGCCGGATGCAGCTGAAAGAAAACATATGACATGATACAGCTAAGGTCAGAAATCTCTTAACAAAGATTAGTTTGTTAAAACACAAGAAGCAAGAAAGGAGTTAATAACTATTATTCTGCTTTCTAGGGTGTATCCAGCAAGAAACTAGATTAAAAGAATGGAGAGTACCAAAGAGCAGAAGGACTATAATATTGTCTATTTTCAAACATCTCAGAAGCCAAGGTAATGACACCAAAACTTCACCCTGAATGCTGAAATAGGAAAGGTGGGAGCAAATAACATTGGTTATAAAGACATAAAGAAATGCACACAATTATGATTTCTAAAGTAGAAAAACCTAATTTTTTTTTCTTTTGAGACAGTCTTAAGCTGTCGCCCTGGGTGGAGTGCTGTGGTGTCAGAGCTCACAGCAACTTCAAACTCTTAGGCTCAAGTGATTCTCTTGCCTCAGCCTCCCACATAGCTGGGACTACAGGAGCCTGCCACAGAGCCCAGCTATATTTTGGTTGCAGTTGTCATTGTTTTTAGCTGTCCCAGGTCAGGTTCGAACCCGCCAGTCTTGGTGTATGTAACCGGCGCCCTACCCACTAAGCTACGGGCACCACCCATAATCTAATGAGTTTTTTTGAAGTCTTATAATTTTTATAAGCACTCCTTCAAAAAGTCTATTTTTTCAGTCATTAAATAACTTTAAAAATGGCAAATACTATTTTTATTTATATTTTCATTTTTACCATCACCTGAATATAGCAATTATTTTCATCTGGTATTAAATTTTAATATTTAATTGCATTAATATTCATAGCTGATCATGACTATAGTTGCTGGACTATAAAGGGATTATACATTTAAAGGAAATAATTATACCTGCTACCTCATAACCCAGCAGGTACTGGATTATGCTGCTTTATTGTTGTCTAGTTTGAGAGGTATAAAATAGTATTTTATTATTTTAATTTACATTTTTATAACTACCATCCACTTTACAAACTGAAACTGTTCAAACTTTCTATTGTACTTTTGGGGGGCACTAGTATGTTTATGTCCCTGGCTCATGTTCCCTTTGGGGTCTTGGTGGTCTTCTCATATTTGTATGTTATATATAGGTAATAAACTGGCAACTTGAGGGCCAGATAAATTGCTTGGTTCACATGGTGTCAAAGTCAACTTCTAAAAATTAGGAAATTTCACACTGAAATCTGAATTTCTGGCTTCTCTTGAAAAAAATCAGATCTGGAAATACCAGGCCCATAATCCTACATGGAAACAATCAAATGGAGCTGAGTAGCAGCTACTTCCTTCAACATGGGCTGAGTTCCCAAGTCCAACACAACCCCCACTCATACAGGTCTATTTCATGGGCCCATTACTCATTTACATTGCTTGCCTGGCCCTGTAACACACCAAAACTACCAGTACTTTGTGATTTATGACATTAGTTCTTTATCCATTCCATTATTCTCTTTGTATCTTTTTGATTATACTTTTTAATTTCTACAGATACCATATCATTTTTTAAAGTATCTTTTGTTGGGGAATCCTTAATTATGCATGGAAGAATTTATACTAAGGATTACTCTTTGAATGATGTCATTATTTTAGGAACAAATCTTTCCTCTTTTCCTTCCCTAAAAGACTTTTAAGTCCTCATTAAAAATCTTAGAACTTTTAAACAAGAAAGGACTTTAAAGCTTATGAGTTCCAGATAGTTCACATAAAGAAATGAAGACTCAATAAACTAAGTCGTCATGTAGCTTCACAGCTCAGGCCTAAGTCTATCTGTGAATACCCAGTCATCTTTAGCAGAGTAGCCACTGTGGGCCATTTAGAAAGGTCACTCAAAGCAGTCCAGTGAAACCAGAGTAGATCTAGAGGATTTGGAGGGGATACATAAAGAAAGACATAGCAGAGAGAGAACACTGAATGAATAGAGACCCTGACAGAAGAACACACACAGTGTGCTTGAGGGACAAAAAGTATCAATTGCACTGGAGTAAAAGGTTCAGGCAGTTGGAAGAAGGGAAGTGGACACAGGACTAGTTAGGAAGGCAGCAATAGTTTGTACCCAGGTTAGGGTTTTAGTAACGTCAAGAAGGCTGAAGGTCAAAGAATGTTTGAAGGATCAGTGAAATGTGGCTATGAATAAAAGAGAAGAAAAAGAAGTCAGGTTTGTAAGAGCCAAAGGTTCAGTTTGCTAGGGCACTTGTTAAATGCTGGAATTCCCACCATAGGTCCTGAGTCTTCAGTCAGACTGTAGAAGTCAGAAGGCCCTAAGCAAAGCATCTGCTGTCAGAAACATACACATCAGGAATCTCAAATGTTTATGCTTTTCACTGTAATTCACCTACTAGAGATTTTATTCTAAGAAAATAATCAGGAATTTGCCCACAGATTTCAAAAATAAGGCTGTTTGTGCTTATCACAAGCTTATTTGTAGCACTAAAAAACCCATAAATGACCTGGATACTTGATAATAAGGGAATGGTTAAATAAAAGATGAATAAATACAGTAGCTAGAAACTTTGGTTTTGAAGACTATGGGAAGATGCTGATATAATAGCATGTATAACTAGGATAAATCTACGAGTGGTCATTTTCTAAGTTCTTGCCTTTGATCATAAATATACCATACCTGGTGGCACCCACTTAGGTCTCTTGCTTTCAGTTAAAGGACTGCGTATTTGTGATGGTTTCCTAGTGGCCTCTGAAGAAAGAGAAACCTTTTTGGGTGAAGGTTGTGATTCCAATTTGATAGCCGCTGGAGCAGAGTCTACTGAAGTCACTTATTTGGAAAACAAACATAAAAAAGTTATATAGTTTAAAGTTTAAATCTGGCAAGTATGTGTAAAAATTATGGAGTTACAAAGTCTTATAAGAAATTAAAAAGGTAGTATCACAGATTTAAAAATTATATAACAAGTCAACAAATATTTACTGAGAGCCTAAGAATAGTCAATTTTTATGAGCATTTATATGCCAGGTAGTGTGGTAAACATGCCACAGATGTTACCTTTAATCTTTTACAACTTTGATACAGATATGGCTCTCCCCCTGCCACAGAAGGTGAAGGGATCGGCCTGTAGTTTGACAGCTAGTAAGTGCTGAGCTGGGATTAGAAACCTGGTTTATCTCCAAAGTCCATACTTGTAACCATTTACCCAACAGTGTCTCATTAGTATGTGCCAATGAGACAATATATTAGGCTCTAGAAGATACAAAGATTTTAACCCATGGATCCTGCTCCTGAGGACTTTATAGTCCAGTCACAGGAGTCCAGTGGGAAGGACAGAAAAAAGATATGTGTATAATGCGGTGCAGACTCTAGAAGTACACCCAGTAGGAAGGGAAACAATCTGGATGTATGTGTTCAGAAGCTTCAGGGAGTAAAGATGAGTTGAGGGACATGTTCCAGGCAGAGGGACTAGTGTGTAAAGCCGGAAAATGCACCAAGATCCAGGACCAGTACTAGTTCAACATGGCTAGAACAGGAATCTCAAAGATAGAAAAAGGGAGAGATATAGAAAGGGTGCAGATCATTCCTAAAGAGCTTTGTAGAGGAGTGTCTGGCTAGTCACAATTACATATTAATTTTTCTCAGGAATGACTGCATTTTTCAAACATCTTTCTGGTGGTAGTGTAGGGCAAATATAACATTTAGAAAGCTATTCTGGTAATCAGGTGAGAGGGAATGGGGGTGTGAACTAAGCACAGTGGAAAAGAGAAGGAAAACAGTACATTAGATATGTTCTAGTAATAGATGGAGTGAGGCAGTGATGAAGATGAAATAATCCTCCACTTGCAAGTTCTTATCATGGGCACTCCTGCTTGATGCTGCCATTTACAAAGAAAATGAACACAAGAATGGGAGTAGGTTTTGGTCTTTGTTTGGAGGGGGAAGGGAAGGAATGAAGGGAAGAGGACAGGGAGAATATAAATAATATGATGCAGCATGATAAGGGATGTAAGAGACTCTAGAAGTACGCCAAGTAGGAATGGAAACAATAAGGCTTGTTTTGAGACACCTAAGGGGTATCTAAGTGCACATGAATACCGATATTTTCACTATATATGTACCCTCTAGATCAGTGCTGTCCCAAAGACCTTTTGTGATCATAGAAATGTTCTGTATTTTGTCCTATCCAATACTGTAGCCCTAGCCACATATAGATACTGTGTACTTGAAATGTGGCTAGCAAAACAGAGGAATGGATTTTTAAATTAAGTTTAATATAGCCACATGTGGATAGGGGCTACAATATTGGATAACACAGCTCTCAAAATTTTCTGTATCAGGTGAAAAAGTAGAATTACACTAGGATAAAAGACTCTCCAGGGTTACGTAATACATTAACAGCAGGGCTAGAAATAACCTATTTTTCTTAATCCTTAATCTTGTAACTTAATGGTTAAATTTTACTTCTATTATGTATTAAACTCCCTTGTGAAGTAACTTGCTCCAAGGAAAGACTTTAAATAGTAAATTCCAAACTTGGAAACTGAAATTTTAGTTGTCTGTATGTCTTGGTGAAGAAGCCTAAACAAGCTAACAATGTAACCTAATCATCTGTACCCTCATATCGGTCTGAAATTACAAAAATAAGCCTAAACAAACTTAAAGAAAATATAAAATGCATTCATATTGTTAATGACATTTTTATATTATCACTTGTGATAGACAGAATAACGGCCCTTCAAAGGTATTTAGATCCTAATTGCCACAACATGTGAATGTGTTACCTTACATGGCCATCAGATGGCCAAGGGACTTTGCAGATGGAATTAGGTTAAGAAGAGAGATTATCCCAAACTATTTGGATGGGTCCAATCTAATCACAGGGGTCCTTGAAGTAAATGTGAGAAGCAGGAGAGTCAGTCATGACATGACAGGGTAAAGTCCCTGCTATTGCTTGCTTTGAAGATAGAAGGGGGCCACAAGCCATGAAATGCAGACTCCCTCTAGGACAGCGGTTCTCAACCTGTGGGTTGTGACCCACAGGAACTGCATTAAAGGGCCATGGCATTAGGAAGGTTGAGAACCACTGCTATGAGAGCTAGAAATGGAAAGAAAGTGGATTCTTCCCTAAAGACTCCAACAAGGGAGCACAGTCCTGCCAAAAGCTTTATTTTAGCCCAGGGAAAACCATTTTGGGTTTCTGACTCCCAAAACTGTAAAATAATAATTATATGTACTTTTAAGCCACTGAGATTGTGGTAATTTGTTATATACTAACAGCAACAGGAAACTAATACAATTTTTTTTCATCTAAAAGCCCCTGCATTTAAAATCTAATTTTTTTTTTTTTTTTTTTTGAGACAGAGCCTCAAGCTGTCCCCCTAGGTAGAGTGCTGTGACATCACAGCAACCTCCAACTCCTGGGCTTAAGCAATTCCCTTGCCTCAGTCTCCCATGTAGCTGGGACTATAGGCGTCCACCACAACGCCCAGCCATTTTTTGGTTGTAGTTGTCATTGTTGTTTGGCAGGCCTGGGCTGGATTTGAACCCACCAGCTCTGGTGTATGTGGCTGGTGCCTTAGCTGCTTGAGCTACAGGCACCGAGCCTAGAATCTAATTTCTGAAAACCAAATGAATTGTCAATTTAAGAAAACACTCTAATAAAAACTTTATTAATTCAGAATACAGTAGAGTATATGATATATATTGGCATGACTCAATCAGTATTTAATTCTTATTTAATTTTTCAATTAAGCACTCAGTACCATGCTATTTAAAGTGAGGGCAACTCCTAAGTGGGAAGTTGAAACAATAGAACTTTTAGTATCAAAACAGCATATACATTGAAAAACTAAAACAATAGAAAAATAATACAATAGAACTTTTAGTATCAAACAGCATATACATTGAAAAACTAAAACATGAAAATGGGTATCAATAAATAGAACAAATTCAGTTAATGAAAGGTTATTTTACAATATTTATCATATACCATGTATTACAAACTCAAAAATGTCCTAATTTACTTTACATAAGAAGTAGGTATTCCATGTCCAATTTGTCATAAATTCCAAGTTTTATTGTAAATGTAGTTTCTAATAGAAATTGTTTTGGAGAAAAGTAACAAAAAACTAAAAATGGGCCCTAAACACGTGGAAGAACTCTCAAAGCAGACTAAGTTAAGCATGAAAAAAGAAATTACAATCGTGTAAACGTCCCAGTTTAACAGCCTGGAGAAAATGAGGTCCAGTGGATAGAGCTCAGACTCTGGACAAATGTGGGTTCAAATTCTAGCCCTCACTTATTAGATGTAAGATTTCCAACATACTAACTTCTCTGAGCCCTAGTTTCCTCATTATAAAATACAGGTGACATCAGAGGGTGGCTGGGAGCCCTGAAGAAAGTGATACACAGTAAGTGCTCGCCTATGTGTGTTCTAGCCTGCTTTTCTCCTTTCCCCTATCCTGCTTTCTTTTACATATTTGAACTAAAAATGAATATTAGCAAGATGTTAAAGCGAACAAAAGCAAAGATAAGAGAAATACAGCAAACAAACCAAATACATTTTCGGACTAAGCTTACCTGCAGCACCGCATCTGGATTTAGACTTCTTCTCTTTCTTTTCTACTGGGGATTTCACCTTCACTTCTTTCTTTTTAATTTCTTTACCTTTACTTTTTCTCACAGTGAAGTCTACATCATCATCTCCATCCTCACCAAAATCAGAATCATCCTCAGAATCTTCACCTAAAACGGAAGATTACATACTTCATCTATGTTCTAAAAAGTGAGAACTGTTGCCTCAACTTTATCAATGGCTTTTGTGCCAGATTCCTGTGCCCCTTTGCGCTACGCGATTTCCTGGGGCAGAGCACTGCAGTGGTTGAGACTGTGGGTACCTGTGCTTGAATCCTAACGCCTCTACTGGTGTCACGTGATGTTAGGTCACTAACTTCATTGCTCCTCAGTTTCCTCACCTAGAAGATGGGCATAACCACAAACCTGTATCTCAGGGCTAATACATATAAAGCATTTAGAATAGCAGCTGGCATATAACCAGCCAAATATAATTGTTTGTTATTATCAGTATAATTTCCTATCCATTATCTTTCCTTCTGAATTTATCAGTTTAACTTGGTAACTTTATAAAAGAATGGTAAGGCATGACAATACCCCGTTCTTCAAAATAAGGACATCTACGGTAATAACAGTATGCTTTCCCTTAATCACAGGAACTTCAATATTCTGGAAGAGAGAACCATGGGAGTTGAGACTATTCACACTATAACAATCTTAGCTGATACTCCTATAGCTGATTTCATTTGGGACATACCCCTATTTCCCACAAACTCTTTTCTGTACTACAGGAAGTCCCCAAGTTACAAACATCCGACTGACGACAATTGCACTTACGAATGAAGGCTATTATGGATGATAGGTAAGTGTACCTGCTCTGACTTACAAACAAATTCAATCCTATAGAACCCATCTCATTTGTAGCCCTGGGAATGTCAGTACATGGAATGATACAAGCCAGTGATACAATATGGGAAGTTTTGCAGCTACTCCAGAAAAAAAGCACAGCTTAATCTGACAGTTAACCAATCATCCTTCTATTTTTGGAAGGGTTAGGACATGCTTTATAAATAATAAACTCCGAAAACTAAGTGTAAATAAGCGTTAGTCCTATAGTCACAAAACTTTAAAAAATTTTGGTATTACATACATACTTAATGAAGAAAATGGTTAAGGCAAAAAGTATACAACAAAATGAAAAACAGTACATGCTTACTGTAAAAAGTATAACCATATAAAAAGAAAATTCATTATCTCACTACTCAGAGATAAACAGTTATCCCCACATATTACTATCTATCTAAAACAATGTTATTTTGTATAAAAAACATGAAAATTTCAAACCTACACAGTAGTAGATAACAATAAACTGCCATCCAGAGTCAACAATTAATGTTTTGCTACATTTGTTTCATCTATTACTCTTCTTCTTTTCCCTTTCCTTCTTTATATATTAAAATATATCCAAAGCATCACATCACCACGCTCCTATATACTTCCAAATGCATCTCTAAAAGACATGGACATTTTCTTACACAGCAGTGCCATTACCATACCTAGCAATACCATCACCAGTTTCTTCATATCATGTTCTATCCAGTCTACATTAATCTCTTTTATTTATTTTTAATTTTTGGCCGGGGCTGGGTTTGAACCCGCCACCTCCGGCATATGGGGCCAGCGCCCTACTCCTTTGAGCCACAGGCACCACCCTACCTTAATCTCTTTAGAGCAATACCCTCTCCCTTTTCCCCCAAGCCGAAGACTTGCTAAAGTAGCCAGGTCAGTTGTTCTGTAGAACATCCTAGAGCCTAGATTTGTCTGTTTTCTTCATCATGATGTCATTTAACTTATTCTTGCATTTTCTGTGAGCTGGAATTCTGCTCTCCAGTGTTGATTAGATTTGGACTGATTTTTTTTTTTCTTTTTGGCAAAGATACCCTTCATAGGTGATGCTCTGTAATTCACATTACACTGAATCAGAAAGCATACAATGTATGGTTGTCCCACTCTGAGCTGGTTCAGTTGGTGCTAGCCTGAATTCTCCACTGTAAAGATCCTCATCAACCCTGATGATCTCTACCTAAATCAACAATGTTGCTATGATCTTCAAATTGCAATTGCCTTATTCTATAATCCTTTCCACACAAAAATTTAAAAACAAGAGTAATCAACTTACATATTCACATAATGATTACTGTGCTGTACTGATCAGTCAGAAAGGGCCAGCAGATCACATGAAGGCTGTCATAAATAGTGGCTTGCAAATTCAAGTAATTATTTCTGGAATCCTGAGAGAATCTAGGTTCAGGGAAGGCAAGTGGGAGAGAAAATTTCTCCAAAGTTTTAGAATATATAAGCTAGGAGAACAAAACTTTCATTTCATCTTCTTCTTTTTTTTTTTTTTTTTTGTTGAGACAGAATCTCACTCTGTTGCCCAGACTACAGTGCCTTCACATCAGCCTCACTCTCAGCAATCTCAAACTCCTGAGCTCAAGCAATCCTCTTGCCTCAACCTCCTTAGTAGTAAGGACTAAAGATGCATGCCACTATACCCAGGTAATTTTCTATTTTTGTAGAGATACGGTTTTGCTATGTTGCTCAGGCTGGTCTTGAACTCCTAGCCTCAAGCAATCCTCCCACCTCAGCCTCCTAAGTATTAGGATTGCAGTGTTGTGAGCCACTGTGCCTGGCCACGGGCTTTCATTTCTACTAAGCTCACCATTGACCTTGTCAAATCCATTTGTCAATTCTCAGTTATCTATGAGATCTAAGAAGTCATTAACAACTGACTCCCTGCTCTGAAATGATTGCTTCACTTAGTTTTTGGATACCCTTTCTCTCTTGGTTCTGCATTTTTAGCCATTGCTTTTCAAACTCCTTTGCTAATGTTCCTAATCTTCCTGACATCTAAACTTTATCTGTCCCAGAGCTTAGTACGTAGACTTTTTCTGTTTATCTACAGTCATCCCCCTAAGTGTTATCAATGTCATCTAGAGTCATGACCTTAATAATACCATCTCTATGGGGATGCTTCCAAGTTTATGTATAACCTGGACTTCTCTCCTAAACTACAGATTCATTTATTCAACTGCCTACTTATCATCTTCATGTCAGAGGTGACTCTATCATGTCTAAGCTCTTACAGTCAATACTGCCCTTTCACCCAGCAAACCTGCTCCTTCCCCTGAGCCTTTTCCATTTCAGTGAAAGAAACATAACAAAATAACAAGTCAGCAAGTGTATAACCATACGCAACTGCCAGTCATTCAAATCAAAAACTTGAGTCATCCTTGATTATGCTTTGCCTTCCTACTACGTTACCACCTCGGTCCAAGCCACCATCATCTCTCACTTAGAGCACTGGATGGTCTCCTAACTGGTATTACCACTTCTCCACTGTCCTGGCTTAACTTACAGTCTCTTCTCAACCTCGTAGCTTTTGTAAGCCTTCAAGTTTTTGACTAAGGTCATGTCCTTCCCTCTGTAAATCCAATTGCTTTCCGGATCTGATTTCCTCTCCAATCTCACCTCCTCCCAGTTCCCTCTTCCCTTACTCCGCTTTCAGCGCAACAGCCTTAGATTCCTAACTAAGCACACTCTTGCCTCAGGACCTGGTATTTGCTATTTCCTCTGTTTCTTTCTTCACATCTCCACATGGATTCCATCCTGATATATCACTTCAGAGAAGCCTTTCCTGACCACCCTACCTAAGATAACACTTCCTACCCCAACCTCACCAGCCCCTTACCTCCCACCCAGCCTCCTCCTCCTTCTTACCTCTTTATCATAGTACTTGACATGTCTATTTGTTTACTGTCTGTTTCTCTTCACTAGAACATAAGCTCTAAAAGGACAGGAGCTGCTTTTTTAGTTTGTTCTCTATTGACTCTTAGTGTTTAGAATATGGCACACATAATAGGTACTTAAATATCTGTTGAACAAGCATTGATATACAAATCTGGTACTGTTTGTTGATGGCATGTCAAAATATAGCATCTGATTTGACATAAATTTATTCATTTTAGGTTTTAGTTAATATATTATGATGCCGTGTCAAGGTTACTGTTTTCCTTGTGCCTGATTTCTGAAGGAAAATCTCCATGATAAAATGTAGGTTTCATATCACTCTGCCTCAAAATTTCACTCCCAGGTGCGGTGGCTCACCCCTGTAATCTTAGTACTCTGGGAGGCCGAGGCAGGTGGACTGCTTGAGCTTAGGAGTTTGAGATCAGCCTGACCAAGAGTGAGACCCTATCTTTAAAAATAGCCAGGCATTGTGGTGGGCACATAGTCCCAGCTACTCGGGAGGCTGAGGCAAGAGGATCACTTGAGCCCAGGAGTTTGAGGTTGCTGTAAGCTAGGACACCATGACACTCTACTAAAGGCTGACAAAGTGAGACTCTGTCTCTAAAAACAACAAAAAAAAATTTCATAAATTTCCACTACTCTTAGGGAAAAAAAGCCTGCATTTCCTAGAATAGGCCCGAGACCTCCTTGATTAGCCTCAGCCTACCACTTTAGCCTCTTCTACAACATTCTTCCCAGCAAGCCTCACTGAATCTCATATGTACACTCATTTACTCCATTGCTCATGCCTTTCTATCAGTCAGAAAAGCTACTTTACCCCTTTAGTTTGTCTAAATGCTACTCATTTTTCAAGGCATAGCTTAAAGGTTACCTTGACAAAGCTTCTTCCCCAAATGCTATCACTGAATTCTACTGTCCTGTGTCCCTGAAGTTTGCATAGCCCAAAGGTTTAGCACAATGCTTTGCATACATTAATGGCCGCCAAGAGCTGTTTTATTGAATGTCCACGGAATTCTAAAAAAGGATGTAACTCACCAGTTGTACAGTCTGGCTCGGTGTCATTAGCGCTGTCACCATCACTGCCTTCCAAAAGAATCTTCCTCTGCTGTACTGCAGCTTTAGAGGCTGCTCTCCTTTTCCCTTGAGTACTTCGAACATCATCTTCCTCAGTAATTTTATCCAAATCTTTAGGAGAGGCATAAAAATCAACGGAAAACTTTCTGTGACAGCTGACATTTCAAGAACTGTAGACTACTGAACCACAGAACTGTAGACTCCCATTCTATCTGTTGTTTTCGTTGGCCAAGGTTCATCCGTCCCCTGCTAGTGATTGACTGCTTCCTAACCCAGTAGGGGCCTCTCATGGTACATCAGTCCCCTGGCAACATGCTCTGGCTTTAAAGATAAGCCCAAGACCCAAACAGAGAGAATCTCTCCCTAAGAATTTTTAAATTAGAACTGAAAAGATGCAGCCCCTTTCTTCAGTCGTAAATTTCTATAGACTAGGAGCCATGGGAGGTCACAAGCCTCCACCAGGGAAGAAAGTGGGTCTGTAGGAAGACAAAATAAGACTAAAATACAAAGGCCAGAAGAGGAAGAGAGCCCTGACAAACTTAAAGGCCTTAGTTTTAGTTACAGTTTTAAGAATTTAAACAAATGTTAGAAAAACAGCATTGATGATGAAAAAAATTAATATAAAAAACTTACCTAAATAATCACTGGCTACACTGCAATTAGAGATATGAGGAGACTTAGTCACTGTTTCTGTTTTACTATTGCCATGTTTTTCAATGCCTAAAGATAAGAAATAAGAAAGAAAATTCAGATGTACCTTAATCAACCCATGTCTAGAAGTAGGAAGGTTAGGACTAAAATGGAAAAGCATTTAGATACAGATAAATGATCCCAAACTCATGATTGCACAATGATTTTATTTGGAGAAATTAGCACATGGCCAGAAGTTTGGGCTCCAAAATCAGACTTAATATACCACATAAACTGGCTATATGAACATGGATAAGCTGCTTATCCTAAGACTTTATCTCCTCATCTATAATGTGGAGATAAAATGAGTATCTCATAGGGTTACTTACCATAGGAGATTCAGTGTTGATTTCACGTGGAAACTGCTTATTACAGTGCCAAGCACATAGGAACCAGTCGATATATATCATAATAACTACCACTTCTGTATAAGCAAATCCATGCTATCACTAATATAAGGACTCTCCCATCATTATAATAACTTTAAAATGATCTAAAACATTTTACGAGGTCTTTAAGACATGATAATTGGTACTATTAAATCTCAACGCTAAAAACTGCACCATTCAATGAGAAGTGGTACTTCCAAAAAACTCCTGCTATATATCCTACAATGTCCTATACGGGTCACTACTCAGATGGAAACAAATGAAGCCCTCTTTTCCAGAAACTTGCCAGGGTGAATCAGAAAGGATGCTGTTGCCTGTGTTTCTTGGAACTGAAACAATGTACCATAACACTGTCTGTCTCAACTTCAGTAGTGACCCGCATAAGAGATGAATTTTGTTTTCTCCATTTTAGATATAATACATAACAGTTCTCTTTTGAAGTTTCTATGATTCTTGACTATTCAAAGTCTGCTAGCCTAAACTGTCTCATTATTTTTAACTAGGAAGCAATACTAATTTAAAAAACAAACAAAAAACTTCCATCTATATCCCTAAATAAAAATTAGGCAATAGGCTAGCCAAAATATTCACCAACATAAAAGAATTTAAGACATAACAATTTAATCCACAAAGCACGTTAGCAGTTTGAGTGTTTTTCCAGGAAAATGATTTCTCTTTGCCAGAATATTGATGTAATCATCTGCTATACAGTTACCAGAAAATCAGAGAAAATCCACAGAGCAATCGAGAAATCATTCTCTTAAATCTATTGTGCTTGCTAACCAAATTAATACCTTTTGCCTTTATAAATAAAAATTACTATCTTTAGGCATGTACAACTAATTTGGATTTGGAGAAAAAGGAGGTGGATTAGGATTTTACAGATTCATTCATTCCATCAGGAAATTAAATTTTGAGCATAAAGCAATACGTGTACACAACTTGAACATCCAGGCTCATAGTCCATGTCCTCAAGCTTACTTTCAGTGTTAAGCAAAGATGTATGTTTGTTGTATGAGATTAAGCAACTGAATAAAGGACGGACTCCAATTGTACTTTCTGCAAACGGATCTATGTATAGTCCAAATTTTATTCTTTCCTCTGTGAGGGCCCATCCAAAGAAATGATTGTAAAAGCAGTAAGAAAGTTTGAAAGCTAGATATATGAAAAATAAAGTTACATTTACCATGAGATCTCTGCACATCACCTGTTGGAAGTTCCTTCACTGATAAAGCTAGTGCAACTTCTAAGTCTCTCTGGTAGAGTTTGTCATCTAAAGCCATTCTAAAACAGATACACAGATGATAATGAATTTTTTAAAATAACCTCAATTAAAGAGAAAAGTCTGAGATTTTCCTAAATTACTAAGAGTTGCTAACCGCACAAAAATGTTTTTAAACAACAGTTGTCACCATTAATTGAACTTTGATGGTAAGACTCCTGAACTATAACACTGCCATGTTGTACCACGCATGCAGCACAGCAGGTTTGAAACAGGAGCAGCGTGCGCCTTTGTACTTACTGTTTCCTTTCACTGCAACGTTGCTCCTTACTACCTACCAGCTCTGTCCAGGGGGAAGTGACTGCTCAATCTAAAACAGACTTGGCTCAATCACCGCTTCCACCTGTAACTCTTTAACATATGTTATAGCTACTAACTAAAAATGTGTTTTGTATCTGTTCCTCCCAATCTAGACGTCAGCAAGTATTTTACCAAGTTTTACTTGGTACAATGCACGGCACCAGCTAGAATACTAAATGTACTCTTAAGGGGCCTGCAATTTAATGAGGAGGATGGAGAAATAAAACATACTAAGAATTATCCCACGTCAGGCAGATTATACATGTGGTAAGTCTCCCATTCAAATTGGCCATAAGTGCTATGAAATATAAAGGAAGAAAAATTAAAGACAGTAAAATAAGGAAAGGTTACATAAAGGAGGAAGCACTGAGCTGTACCTAGAAGGATTTATTATTTAAGTATCAGTTTTATTGAGATATAATTCACATACCATAATTCACCCTTTTAAAGTATATACAATTCAGCAGTTTTTCCTATATTCACAGGTGTGAAACCATCATCGCTGTCTAATTCCAGAACATTTTCATTACCCCAAAAGGAAACCCTGTTTGCGTTAGCAGTCACTCCCCATTGACCTCTCCTCACGTTCCTACTAACTGTTGATTGACGTTGTTTCTATGAATGTGCCTATTGTGGACACTTCATATAAATGAGGTCACATGATAATGTGGCCTTCTGTGTCCGGCTTCTTTCATCAGAATGTTTCCAAGGTTCACCCATGCTGCAGCATGTATCCGTACTTATTTTGTTCTATGGCCACCCTATATTCCATCCTATGGATACTGCGTTTTATTTATCTATTCACTAGTTGACAGACATTTAGACTGCTTCCATATTTTGGCTATTGTGAATAATGTTGCTATGAACTTTTATGAACAAGTTCTTGTGCAGGTATGTTTTCATTTCTCGTAGGTATGTACATAGGCTGGTTCAAATAATAACTCTATGTTTAACAATTTGAGGAACTGCTGAACTGTTTTCCAATTTGGCTACACCATTTTATCTTCCCACCAGCAGTGCATGAGAGCTCTGTCCGCATCACTGTCAACACCTGTTATTGTCTTTCTTTTTGATTAGTCATGTAGTGGCTGTGAAGTACCTCCTTGTGGTTTTGATTTGCATTTCCCTGACAATGACGTTGAGCATCTTTTCATGTATTTATTGGTTATCTGGGCATTTTGTTTGAAGAAAAATCTATTCAAATCATTTGCACATTTTAATTAGGTAATTACTTTTTTTCACTGTTGAGTATGAAGAGTTGTTTACGTACTCTGGATATAAGTCCCTTGTCAGTTATATGATTTGCAAGTATTTTCTCCCAGCTATGGACTGTTTTTTCACTCTATTTAAAATATAGTAGAAGAAACTCAAAAACAAAAAGAGGATCAAAGTAAAGAGTATGATATAAGGTAAATTTGTTTTTGCTCACTAACTTTTCATAGCGAAACTTGTATCACTGAAACATCACATACCCATCTTCCATTTGTTAATACTCTTCTTCAGCCCATCTCCTCCCCATTCCACAAGTTTGGGGTCTCTTAGGACTTCCTTTCCTCCTTCTTTTCTCCCTCCTAGTGCCAACTAATAGAATTCCAGTGTTAGTTTAGAAACTATATGACCATCTTAGTACTGGACAAATCTCAGAAAAAGATTTTATCTGCTGAAAAATACATGGTTTTAAATTTGTTAAAACTGCCCTTACAAATGTAATTTTTAACCAAATAGTCTTCTTATAAGATTTGAGGATTCAGAGACAGGTGCTGGATCCTGCAAAAGCCAGCCATAACCTATAAACTCTCTAATTATTATTGTCTTAATATATAAATGATATTTCCTTGTATGTTTATGAATTTCCTTTTCCAAAGGAGGTTAATTGTACATCCCTATTCTTAATATTTAAATGATATTTCCTTGTATGTTTATGAATTTCCTTTCCAAAAGGAGGTTAATTGTACATCCCTATTCTTCTCCATGTACTGATAAAATAAGATCTACGACTTTGCTCAAGTTCTAATTTAAACTCAGGGTTCAAATCTGTGTCTTTTTTATATGACATGTAACGTCATATATTTACCCAATGTCTTACCTCTCACCTTTTTTTAGGGCTGTTCTCTTGCAGTGTAATGTCTTCATTCTGGAGATTCTTCAAGTTAGGTTTTGGTTTCTCTTGTTTCAACGCCTGTGGTCTGGATTTCTTTTTTAAAGGTACAGTTCCAGAAATAAAATCATCTATTCATGTATGAATTAAACATTTAAAAAAGTTATTTTATTAGTATTGGTTGTATTCATTTTTTGAAATTCATTAGTGTGTTTGAACCTTGTTGGTAGTTTTTCTTTACTCTTGCTTATCTATTTTAATTCCTCTTTGTTTTAGTGGCCTTTACTTTTAAAAATAGCCATCTATCAAAAACCAGTTCACTAAAAAACTTTGTTTCAAATGCAATGAAAGTAGTACATAAATGTCAAAGAAAAAAGATTAATTAAAAACCTATAAAACTATTAGAAATCTCCTTAATCATAAAAACCTTCCTGCGATTCTGCCTAAGTAACATCTTAAATTTCTGGCAAAGAAATGTTCTTTGCCATTACCTTACCTTTTCTCCCAGATTTTTCTGCACTACCAATCCTTAGACCTATTATAGTTTTTCTCGACGCTCAACATAAAACTGCTGTTGTGACTTTCAACGCATAAATGACACACATATACACATCTTCAGGGTCTAGTCTGAACCATATACTTTAGCATTTATTAATGCGTGCTGTCTCTTTAATGCTTCTTCACACGGAAACATGAGAACATGACTTTCTACAATGCCCTCTCTGCCCACTGCTCAGAACACAATTGGCAATTTGTAAATATCTGTGACAGACCAATGATGTATAAAAAGCCAGAAGTTGTATTCTATACCATTTTCTCCCAGGCTGTTGCAGGGATGTCTGACCTGTGGCCGGTGGGCTGCATGTATATTATGTGAGAACTTTTTTGCTCATCTGAGGTATTTCATATCAAGAAAATTAGGCACAGATCTTTTTTTTTTTTTTGCTTGTTGGCTTTTGTTAGTGTCTGTGTATTTAACGTGTGGCCCAGGTAACTCTTCTTCCAATGTGTGGCAGAGAAGAAAAAAGGTTGGACACCCCCGCTCGATACACTCAGGCTGTGGGCAAGGCAAAAGAGACTGTTTCAACCCTAGGAATTACTAACTATTTGACTTCCAGAAAACTCTGGTGGTCTAAGAAGTATAAAACCCACTTCAAAATAAAATATAATATAATGCAATGTTTCTCAAACTTTTCAATCAGTTCTCTTAAGAGCAGAGACGAGTAAATATATAACTGACATGGCACAGCTTAAGCATATTCTTTCTTCAAAGTCTTGTTTTATATTACAAGTAATAGGGATTTTACATAATGGTATGTAATACATTTATATCTCAAAAAGACAATGTGTACCTTCTTCAGGGAAGGGATAGGAGACAAATTCTGATTTGATAAATACAGACCTGGAGTAGTTTAGCCCCAAAGAGCCATTTTCTCCTGGCTCAGTTCATTTATCACTTACTAACATAATTCTTGTCAGTGTAATTGTCAGCATAATTATCCAGATACTTAGAAATTTACTTTTCTAGATCTATCACATATATAATTGGAAAATACGTTTAACGTCTGAGTTATATGTTATACATACTCTGAGGAAATATATCTCCAAATCTTTAAAGCAAAAATAAGAGGCACTAATTACCGTCGCTGTCAGAGTCCTCAAACTGTGAGTAATTGACTGGTTTCTTATGCCTATGATCAAGAGAGAAAGTTTTCATTAACACTAATGTCAATTTCTCACCTCTATTCCTTAAGGGTATTAATAGTCTTAAATAAATGAAACTGTAATTGTAATCCCCCAAACATTTAAACATGATTTGCATTTTACAATAAGGATTTATTAGCTGAAATAGTTATATTTGATAAGGAAAAAAATTGATCCAAATAACTCAAAGTAAAAATAATTTATATAATTAACTCAAACGGATATACTGTTTGTTATTGGGCATTTGTAAGTTTCTTTTGTTTGTGTTCCTTTTTTTCATATGTGTACTCTATTTCCTTATTAGATTATAAACTTTCTTTTTTTTGAGACAGTCTCACTTTGACACCCTTGGTAGAGTGCTGTGGCATCATAGCTCACAGCAACCTCAAATTCTTGGGCTCAAGTGATCCTCCTGCCTCAGCCTCCTAAATACCTATAGACACTGGTTCACATACACCCAGCTATTTTTAGAGACAGAGTCTTACTCTTGCTCAGGCTGTCTCAAACTCCTGACCTCAATCAATCTACTCACTTCACCTTCCCAAAGTGCTAGGATTATAAGCGTGAGCCACAGCACCCAGCCAGATTATAAACTTCAGACAAGAAAGGCAATTTTCTATTTCTTTCTTCTCCCCACAATACCAAATAATGTTTTTATGGAACAGACACTTAAAAGTGGTGATCGACTTTGTCCCCGCTATCTGAAACAGGTCAAATATCTCTTATCTGAAATGCTTAGGACCAGAAGTATTTGGAATTTTGGAATTTCTCAGATTTTAGAATATTTGCATTATATGTATACTTAACAATTTTTGAGTATCCCAAATTTGAAAACCTGAAACGATCCAGTGAGCATTTCCCTTGAACATCATGTCAGCACTGAAAAATTTTTAGATTTTGGAGCATTTCAGAGCTTGGATTTTCAAATTTGTTCAATGTATACAATTTTTTCAAAGTGGAAAAAAAAGTTATCTTCTTCCTCCTTTCTCCAGGCACTAAATCAAAGAGGTCTTGTAGTTTTTGTTTCTATTTTCTGCCAAATGCTCAAATGTGAATAACCTAGTTTGTCAGTTGGTTCTTTTAGGTAAAAATGGTGTTCTATGGAAAAGAGGCTGATTCAGCTCACAACCCAATATCACAAGTGCTTTTCCTTGAGGTAGCTATCATTTAGAAGTGCTTTGTGTGTACTTTCCACTTCCTCACATGGAATGTTAAAAAGAAATATACTCATACCACCACCCCACTCTTTGGAGTTAAAAAGTTTGAGAGCTGGCTTGGTGCCTGTGGCTCAAGTGGCTAAGGCGCCAGCCACATACACCTAAGGTGGTGGGTTCGAATCCAGCCCAGACCCGCCAAACAACAATGACGGCTGCAACCGAAAAAAAAATAGCCAGGAGTTGTGGCTGATGCCTGTGTTCCCAGCTACTTGGGAGACTGAGGCAGAAACTCACTAGAGCCCAGGTGTTTGAGGTTGCTGTGAGCTGTGATGCCAAAGAACTCTACCCAGGGGGACAGCTTGAGGCTCTGTCTCAAAAAAATAAAAAGTCTGAAAGCTGAATTAAATATGGATACACTTTAAAAATTCTGAGATTAAATAAAATTAAATAAAAAGCCTACTAAAAACAAAGAAGTATATTCAAGGGTTGAGCTATAATGAATACAATAATTCCTAGAGCTTCATCAAGCATATTCGTAAGTAAAACTTGGATTTTTTTTCTCTGAGTATTTGGCAGTAAAGAATGTATTGATTACTAGTACAGTTTGGTGGCACTGCCTCGAATTGTGCTGGGATGCCAGCAGTTTTATCATCATTGCAAAGCAGTACAAATGACAGAATAATGAAAAAAGCAAATCATGTCTGGGGCTGGGCAATACCTCAGACTTGTATGTAATCCCAGCACTTTGGGAGGCCAAGACAAGAAGAAGGATCACTTATGTCCAGGAGTTCAAGACCAGGTTAGGCAACATAGTTGAGACCCTGTCTCTACAAAAAAAAAATTTTTTTTTTTTGCAGTTTTTGTCCTGGTCTGGGTTTGAACCTACCACCTCCAGCATATAGGGCCGGTGCCCTACTCCTTGAGCTACAGGTGCCACCCCAAAAAATTTAAAAACAAAACAAAAAAAAAGGTAAATCGAGCGGCTCAGTGAGTAGGGCGCTGGCCCCATATACCAAGGGTGGTGGGTTCCAACCC